AGAAACCCTTATAAAAAATCTTGTTCTGTCGGTTCTTTACACTCGATCGATCCATTTAGTCGAGAGGAACCACGGCTAGAAGTTTATGAGAATCGTGTTTTTTGGAGAAATTATTAACACATTCACACTAATACCTCAGTGAGAAAGAAAAAAATTGGTTATCTCAAAGTCTGTTCTGACCATATTGTTGTTTCAGATCAATAGCATGATGTTTCCTATATATATGTGCCAAATGCGATTTCTTTATTATGCATATAATTTAAAAATGCGAAAATATATTTACGTATGAAAATTGACATATGTTCTTGCCTTCACGGTAGAAAACCCGCCAATAGCAATAAACGATGAACGGATTTGCGGACTGGAGTGAACCGTTACGTTTACCCTGAATAATTTATCAAAGAGGATAGGAAGACGAAGACCTCCCAATAAATATTGTAATAATTATGTATTTATAAACTAAAAATGTATAAATATTTTTCAGATAATATTTTTAAAATGTATTAATGTGACTAGACAACATCACATCATAAAAATCAAGAAACAACGACATATTTTTGACGTACGCCTTCAAAGTACAAACATTAGCTGGATATATAAACACTGACCCTTAACATATGGATGGTCCAGAATTAGCTGTCCTAATTCATTTATTTGGTTGTCCACAACTTTTACGTGGCAAAAAAATCTAAGACATATATAAACTCGAGTTACCCATGGCTTTAGTTTTAAGTTTATGATGAATATTCTGCGAATTAATGTAGAATATACATACTAGTACTCGAATAATTGACCGTTCAGAACATTTATCATGAAAGGCCAATGATTTAAATTATGTATCAAAACATCATAAGTGTTTCCTAAACTATGATTGACAGTTAGTGAGATGAGTCGTGACTTTTTCTCTGTTAAAGAAGATGAGTCGTGCTTTATAGTATACAGCGGCGATGATCCTAAATACAAAACTATACAAAATATGTTTTTTTTTGTAGTTTTCTAACGCTATAGAAATCATATATTTCTGAGAAACAAAAAAAACAGTTGGCGGTTTTTTATCGGACTTTTGCCTCTTAAAACCATGATTTTGATTGATTTTATTAGTGATTTTTAAAGACATCAGTTTCACACAACATATATTTATGACAAAAAGTTGTCTAAGTAAGACCAACTCCAACCGAACGGCATAACACCATATATGATGCAAAATCATCTCCAATCCAACTGCAAAACTCATGGCAAATTGGCATTTTTAGTGTTTTGTGAACAGTGTTGCACCAGATTTGGTGTGACACTGTTCATAAAACACTAAAATTTAAATTATTTTTTATTTGTTTTACATCTATTTTTTTAATTAGCTAGATGTTTATCAACTGTTTAAAATTTAAAAATAGATATAATATAAACTTTTTTATAATTTTCAGTTTTAATAATATGAAAGTTATAATTTTAACCAATATTTTACAGATTCTAATTAAAATGTAAATTAAGATTCAACTAAAAATTAAAATTATAGAGTTACAATTTCATATTGAATTGTAATTCTATATTAATTTTATAATTAATTCGTTTTAAGGATAATTAATATTTATCAAAACTATTAAAAAATAAAAAGTTGATTTTAATAATATAATATTCCATTTAGTGTGAGTTTTAGTGTTTGTGGTTGGAGATGAAAAAAAAAGTTGAACACCAAAACACCAAATTTGGTGTGGGATCAACACCAAATTTGATGTGTGGGTTGGAGATGCCCTAAGAAATAAAAGTTGTGAAGAAGTAACATGGCGTTCATGTGCTTCACACTGACCCGAAATGTCACGATCAAATAACACCTCCAACGAAGAACGACAACATTCACTATGCAAAATAAACCATTCAATTGATTTGATTTACTAGCCAATAGAAATTTAAGAAAAATGTACAAAATCAGAATAGTTACTGATTAAAAAAAAACACTATGGGCCATATGGTCATGGTCATCTTGTTTCAATCACGTATTCCCACGATCCATCCTGTGTCACAGAACATGCAAGGCATCATCCCCTAACAAATCAAATACATGACTACGTACCTCTACGTCTGTTAATTTTTTCTTCTAACATTTTCTCCCATCCTCTCGGTCTTCGTTTATTATTAGGGATATATTTGTTGTGGTTTTAATCGAGATAACTTGCGCTAGAACGAACCCTTTTTTGGTCAATCCATTCATGTATGAAATCTATTATAACCAAATATACTATAAGTTGAAATATATATGCTAATTATAAATTTATAATATGAGAGATTGGGATATCTCTATAGCAACCACATTTATTAAACCGTCTCTACTAAACAACTAGACATAGCCTTGGCAATTTGGCATCAATCATCAATGTACTTTGTTATATTTAGTTTTATCGACCGAACAAAAAATGAACCAAATACAGTTTCTCTAATCGGGTAATTTGTGAGAAAATTAGTAAATTACAATTAACTATTGTCATTTTGTAGTTATAGTCATAAATTCACACACACAAAAACATGGGATAAAAATATATATGCATTCTTCTATAGAACTCACAGTTATCAAAAGGAAGTTTCAAATTTAAATAATAATTAAGAGTCGATTAGGACAAAGATGATTAGGACCTAAGAGACATAGGTGGCTCCTAAACGCATGGGTCGTAGCTCCCAAGACAGAGCATATGGGATTGTATTAGTAGACAAAACCATGTTTTGCTTTATTAATAAATGTTAGATTATGACTATCTAACTTTCGAAGTTTTGTGACTAAACAAATCCCGTCGATTATGGAAAACATATTATGTGGAAATTTCTTTTTTGTCTTCCTAAAATGCCGTAAAAATGTGTAAAAGTGATATTTTACTTGAAATCAGCATTTCATCTCTGACCAAAGAAGCTAAACTACTTAAGAGTTAAGACTAAAATAGCTCACTGACATCTTGAGTCCAACGGTCCAACCGGAAAAGCGTGTGGTGTTTGAGGCGCAGACATACATAACAAGCACACAACGCTAACGCGTCAGAAAATTACACGTACGCATCTCTGGATGATATTTAGGTTTCATATATAACTCTTTCCAGTGCATATTATTTATTCCGGTGCTTAAGATGTATTTTTGAATTCTGTCTAAAAGAATACTGTAAGCCAAATAATTTAATCAAGTTTTGGAATGAGTTTGTTACTGTCCGAGATCCAAATCAGTTCTTTCATGCAAGTTAACTGATTACTTTTATCGGTGACAATATTTTTTAATTTTAGTTTTAAATTCCAGTCAAAGATTGTATATATCGGGGAACGAGTAGAAAAGTGTCTCCTGCATATCTTAAAATAGTCTGCAAGATTTTCTATTGTTCAGTTTAACAGTGTGAATATCTTATTAATATAAAACTGCCATCGATATCAACGAGAGTTATCAAACAAGCATTTCAGTTTATTCTTACAAACAGTTTCTAGGTAGATGAGACATCTATTGGAAGTATCATCAGTGTATATAACTATATATACCTTACCTTAGTTAGAAGAAAAGTGGATTAAAGACAAAGCTTATCATCTTAAGTGGGAAAAAAAATTCGTCGAAATTTCTTTGTTTAGCTGCTTTTTATTCATGGAAGTCGGATCAAATTGAAATTAACTATAATAGGTTGAACTTGAAACATACTGTCCAACTACTCAAATTCTGTTTTTAAAACTAAACACAACAGCATCTCATATGTCGTAACAGTACTTTTTTGTTAAAACGTCTTTTTGCTGATGAATTCATACAGGGAAAAAAAAACATTGAAGAAGTAAGTTCCTTTTGCAAAAGAGTATCTTCGTTTATCAAATGTCGGTAGCATAAATGATTGTACTTGAAGATCTGGTTAGGAATCATGGTAAGAAGCGAGCTCACTTCAATTTGTGGCTGAGACATGTTTTCATCTTTTTGTGTGTCCTAAATAGTTTTCCTTTTTCTTCGTTTGTAAATACCAAGACGCGTTATATTTTTGTTTATATATGTGAAAAAAGGTGGTGGAAGGCTGGGGATTAACTGCAACCTACCGTTGGAAAAGAAAAACGATCAGAAACACAGAAATTAATAAAAAGAGAAAGGAAAACAAAGTATTGTATGAAAGAAGCACATGGGTGTCTGCGAAGAAAAGGAAAAATAAATTTGTTTGAAAGTGTCACAGGCACACACTCTCGGAACCACATTCAACAACACTCCAAACACTCTCCTTCGACTTTGTACTCTTCAGTACAGTTACTCTTTCCAAAGTCCGTGATTTACGCTCTTCGATGACACCTCTCATTCTCGAGAGAGATACAAGACAGGTGTGCATTTTCTACTGCCATTCATAAATTTTGTTGAGCATTTGATATCAACTATATATTTCTAATTCTAAGAGCTACAAAATCAACGAAAAAACTTACTGTTACGAGAATCTTTTTTTTCCACATTACTGTTATTCTCTAGGAAATCAAAAAAAGAAAGAAAAAAACTTATGAAAGTAACGGATTTAGAAGGATGGTTACCACTTCTATAGGTAGGTTACAGTACTGAGTTTTTAGAAAGAAAAAAGAAAATAGTGACCTTTTTGCTTACCAAATTCTTTTTATTTTAAGTAGTCACACATACGTGTTTGAAGTGAATATTTAAACTAAGTAACTAGGCAATAAAAAGGATATAGTATTTATGGTGGATCTTGGTAAGGACCAGGAGATCAAAAGGGGCCACAATGTCACAAAGAGGACCAACAGCGAAATTAAATCCTCAGCTGGCCTTTGCAATTTTGGCTCCCACCTTCTCCTCCCACACATATGCGCATGTCTTCGTGTCCCTCTCTCTTTTTCTCTCTCCACACAAATATGTACAGACACATAGACATACGAAATCTTTATTTATAAATATATAGTCCTCAACTCCCTCAATATCCACCCATCTCCTTCTCCATAACTCTCTTCTCTCTCTCTCCTTCCAAACACAATCATAAGCTTTTCTCTCTCACAATAACCAAAAACAAATGGCTATAATGAAGAAATCCTCAAAACTAACTCAAACAGCAATGCTGAAGCAGATTCTGAGAAGATGCTCGAGCTTAGGGAAGAAGAATGGTGGAGGTTACGATGAAGATTGCCTCCCACTCGACGTACCAAAGGGACATTTCCCTGTCTACGTCGGAGAGAACAGAAGCAGATACATTGTCCCAATTTCCTTCTTGACACACCCTGAGTTCCAATCTCTTTTAAGACGAGCTGAGGAAGAGTTTGGATTTGACCACGACATGGGTCTCACCATTCCTTGTGATGAACTCGTTTTCCAAACCCTAACCTCCATGATCCGATGAGATTTTAAGTTAAATCATTTGATGAAGAAGTAGAAGAAGATGGTTAAAGAAGAAGCAGAAGCTGCTCTCTTTTCGAAAAAAATATCTCTTCTCTTTTTTAAGTTTATTTTTCTTCTATTTTTAAGCCCATCTAGGGTGTTTTTACGAGGTAATTGACTCGTCTAACTAGAAAGAAACCCGTATGAGATAGGTTTAGATCTGTAAAGAAAAGTTTGTAATGTTTTCCTCACAGATCTTGATTCTGTGAGAGAAGTTAAGTATTAATGCAAAAAAAAGTATTCCTCCATTACTTTAGCATTTCCCTAATATTTCTATTGGTTATCGTGCAGATTTTTTCTTTGTCATTTACCTCGCCTACAAAAACTATAGGTATTTTTCAGAGACTTCAGCACATTCTAAGCATTAAACAGAAACAAAGGTTTTAACTTTGGACTTAACTTTGTCACAAACATAAATAAAGGTTTTTAACTTTGGACTAAACTTTGTCAAAAACATAATCAAAAACAATTATTTTGAGGCTAAAGTTTCATGTGATAGCTATATGATTAGGGTTCTTGAAGCATACTTTTGTAAGTGCATGCTTGAACATGGGTTTGTCAGAGAATGTGGGTACTTTATCATGTACGGAACCAGATAAGATTTTTTCTACATATGGTTTCTAAGATTACCGGTTAGCACAGAACAAAAGATTAACGGTTAAAAATGCCTCTTCTTCCTAAAGCTTTTTTGGGATAAATTTCTTATACCAAAACTTAACTAATTGTTGTATGTTGAATATCACCACTGAATTCCACAGTAGTGTATACTAGCTAGTGAAAGTCGATTCATTCCTCAACCAACATAGCGCTGACTTCTTTATATCAACTAGATAGATATAAACATTAGAAATATTCATTTCACTTTGAAAAAATGTCTAGTCATTTCTAATACACACAAATATATTTATATAAAACACGTAGTATAAAGCAAAGAATATTACTTAAATAACTGTATAAAGCAAAGAAAATGACGCGTGCATGCTAATGGAAGTAGTTGTATCAATAAAGACTTTACAAATAATATTGAGCTGTTTCCAAATATGGCGTCCCTTAATCATTCTTAGAGTCAGCATTACATATAATATATTGAGCTGTATGTCTGTATATACATATATCCTATGTTCAAAACATCGATAATCGTTAATCGGGCGGTCGGGACGGGATTTGAGATTTTTTTTAAATCGGGGATTAAGCGGAAATTAAACAGGAATGAATTTTGACTATATTTAATATAATTTTAAAATATATTTACATATATAACTGTATAAGTAACACATATTAATGATATTCATATTCCAAAAATTAGATATTGTAATTTTCATTTCTTTTTTAAGATTTTTTCAACTTTTCTGTAGAAATAAATATAGGTTTAGGTGATTTATGACAATACTTGATGCGGTCTGGCGGTAACGTGCCAGTTCTTAATCATATTGTTCACAAGTTTGATCTGCGGCAGACTCGTTTTCATATTTTTCCTTAGTTTCGCTTTAATGAAGGGTATAATTGTAAATTACTCTTCATCTCCTTCCCAGAATTTTGTTCAAGAAACCCTAATGAGCCGTTCGATTTACAGCACTCATTACATTATTTTTTGCATTTTTTTATACTAGATCTAAGTTTTTCGTGTTTGTCTTTGTCTCAATCTTACAGATCTACAATACAATATTGGATTTCTAAGTTAAAGCAAATGAAAATTTTAAGTTTTTTCAAATTATATGTCGTTGACCAAAAAATCTCCGATTTTGATTAATCTCCACGGTGGTCGGTCGTTGAACAATTTTCCGACCGATTAACCGGTAAAATCGCCAATGTTTAGAACACAGCATATATCTATGAACTGCCTTTGCATGCGCCATGCGCAATCAAACGATTCCTTCTTCTACGGCTTTTCTCTGTTCCGTACATTTAATTAAAGCTGTAATCAAACATTTATATAACTGACTGAAAAAGGCTAGACCTCCCATGCCCAAATATTAAATCATTATAACTGCTGTATAAGTCTATGGTTTGGATCTTTACCGAATAGTCGCTGATTTCGAACATTGATGCAAGATTTATTACGCATTTCGAGCTCCATTAATGCTCTATATCAACATAATTAATGGTCCATCGTCTGCGGCGATTGCGACAACGCTAAACCGCTACTCGAGCGCAAGATTACGAGGAACGATTAAAAAAATAAAAAAAGAGGAAGAACACAAGAAAAGGAGAAAAAATGCTTATGGATTATAGTTTAGTTGTCTATACTAAAAATCTGACGCTACATCCAGATATGATACTCAGTTTGAACGTTGATCACGAAAAATAATTATCTAATATCATTTCATCAAAGTTATTGTTTTATATCCTCCCGGTATTGTTAACAAAATCATTTTAATATAATTCTAGGACATTATTTGACTAACTACTACATGCTCGTGTTGTTATTCTACATTCGTACGGTTGAACCTTAGTATTAAAAGCTTATATCAACACTAGTTTTAAAAAACCTATTGAATGGACTAATTACACGATAAGTAAAGGAGATCACACTGGAATATAATCCAATATTCTGACGTAATCAATAGTATGATATGTTTGCAACCCATTTACTAATCAATATATTATGCAACTCAATAAGTTTGTGGATAAATAATTTGCAAGTTGTAATTAACAAAGCAACGAATGTCATTTGTTAGTTAATAATTTAGCAGACACTATGATCTCTCGTGACCACTTTACATAAAGCAAAGCATGATAATTTAGAGGGATTATGACGACACATACTACTCAAACGAACGATCTACAGCAAATAGTGTCTAGCTTTTAGTAGGTTACGAAACGTCCGAATTCAACTTGCTCATAAACAATCACTCCCTAATGTAACTATTGACTTTTGATTTCGGTTGGATTTGATTGGTTAAAAGAATTCAGAAGGCTCAGACCGTAATTGTCGGTTCAACTTGTTAATTTTTTTCTTCTTTTTTAACTGCAGATTTTATTTTAAAAGAGAACCTGACACAGTAAAATTATATAATTGCTAGGTGCTTTGATGAATACTCACGCAAAAAGCCAGATGATTCACTAAGATACGCTTGTCTACCAAAAGCACAATATCTATTTGTCACCTATTTTAATTGAATACTAGGGTTCGTTTTTATGATCAGTCGCAGATCCGGATAACGGATAGATTAGTGTCTTAGAAAAACGGTTTAGACAGAGCCTAGACACTAGATGAGTAATAGACAGTGACAATTATCTCTTAAACATTAGAGTTACATCAAATATGTTACTAAACAGAGTTATATGGTGTTTGTCAGTTCTAAGCAATGCTAGGTTCTAAAAGAACCGTTTTATGCACACGACCTTATTCATGATCGATTTGAGTGACAAATTCCAGTAACGTTAAGGTTATTCGAAGTGATCTCTGTAGCTAGATGCCGAGTTAAATTGTATAATCTTTTGATAAAAGTAAATGTTCTCTTTCACTCCTACTAAAGAGTAAAGCCATATGTTTCTTTTCTTAGAAGGTGGAGAAAATGTAAGTGGGAGATTCTTTAACTGTTAAATAAGACGTAAGGTGAGATGCTTTCGTGGAGGTACCACGTATACGGTATACCGTACCAATTAAATTTTATAATAATATAATGTGGAAAATGTTGGTCAGGTTAGAGCGAGATACTCTCATTTTAAATCTTATTATATGGGGGAAATAATTATCTCCACCGAGTAATTAGGTAACAAGAACTACAATTTATCGTATTTGGAATCAAATATGAATCAAATCTATAGTGTGTATATCACTTAACTAAAATGAACATATTGAACAAATTTTTCTTCTAATTAACAAATAAACTCAACAACTTCTTAATAATTTATTATTCCTCAGTTAAAATCCAGAAAATCTGAAATATACAAATTGAAAATAGCCAAAAGAAATAAAATAAGGATCTCTTGACCAAATCAAAATATCTAAATGGAAAATAAACTGAGGCTCTCTCTCTGTCTCCAAACACTATCTCCTTCAAATCTTTCAATCTGGGATGACATTAGCGACAAACAAACCCTAATTGCCATCTCTCCTTTTTCCCACAGTCAAACTAGAATCATAAAATTAGCAAACGAAATAAAAATAAAAACCCAAAATATGAAACAAAAGGTAAAAAAAAAAAACACTTCAATTAGAGATTGAAAAATTATCTCTAACCAAAGCTTCAATCACATTCGGTTTGCTAATTTCAGTGATTCGGTTTGTCACACTTTCACAATTAGCATACAGATTTTTCAGCGATCCCAGGAAGCAACGGCCCAGACTCCGATAAGTACTCGACGCTCTTCGCCATCCCGACGTGATTGCACCTCCGGATATCCTCCAACGTCACCGGATTGCCTCGTCCAGACGAATCGGAGCGAGTTACGACCTCGATGATCTCCTCGAACAGCGATTCGTCGCATGGGATCGCTAACGGACCGACATTGGAGAATCCGTACTCTTCCTCTGCCTCCGCGAGTAGCCGTCGGAAGATCGGATGGTTCAGATGCTTCGCACGGACGACGTATCTCCGCCGATTCTCGCCGACGGAAACCGCGACGTGACCGGGAGGCACATCGGAAGCGGGAGGATCGTTGTTGGATCCGATGTGAGCTTTCCTCTGCCACTGCTTGAGCATTTGACGGATCCGAACAACGCTTCCGATCTTATTGTTCTTCCCCATCGCCACCGACAGAGAATTGCTTCCCGGCGATCCCCAGAAAATGAAGGAAAGTTGGCGAAGAGAGAAAGGGAAAAAAAAACGAAAAAAAGGTTAAAGAAAAAACATTTTAGGCGTTGCTGCGTTTTCCAAATTTCGGGATATTTCGGCAAGCAGGGGAATATTGAGGTGGAGCGTGGGATATATAAAGGTCTGATAAGTTTTCATAATACCCCCTTGATTTTTGCTAAATTACGAAATTACTCCATATATGGCTTTTTAAATCTTTTTTGCTCCTCCCAACTTATCCTTATCTTCTAATTTGCTTATTATATAATACAAAAAATGAGTTTGTTTTTTATTAGAAGTAGATTAATTCATATATTAAATTGATAAATATCTGTATCAAGTAAATAAAATTAATAAAAACCCAGATATTTGCTTATTATATAAAATACAAAAAATGAGTTTGTTTTTATTAGAAGTAGATTAAATGATATATTAAATTGATAAATATCTATATCAAGTAAATAAATAAAATTAAAAACTCAGATATTTGATTCATGCAATATATTTTTGTTTATTTCTTGTTATTATCTTTCGTTGCTGTTGATTTCCTTAAATGTTGAAGAGCAAGGCTGTCATGACCGTTAAAGAAAGCCCATATCGCTTGATTTGGGGAGTTAGAATTGCTTTCTCTATATGTTTGACAGACTAGCAGGCCTAATTTAATTTTCTTGATTTACACATGTTGGCAAATTAGTTTTCCTTTTCTTTTATGGGAAATGAATTGAGACATGAAAAATCACAGTAGATTTTTTTCCATGCACTACAAGAAAAGAAGAAAAAAAAGTCACAGATTTTGTAAGTGAAGGTGTCATTACCCGGATAATACTGGGATCAGTCAAAACTCCATATTAAAAAAAATCCCACTTTGACATAAACTGTTTTGAAATTTGAATAAACACATTTGTATCATCGTACGTAATATCATTTTCCAAATTTCCTCATCCGCAACGACATTATTTTCTACCTCTATGCACCACCAATACACCATAAACATGACTAGGATCCTCTCATCTTTACCAAACCAACATCTTTTTAGAACAAGTTGTGTGGGTTAGGACGACTTTTACAATCCAGTCCGGTTCGTTTTTTTAATATGCATTTGCCCAAAAATTTTCGAGCCACAAAAAAAACATACAACGCGGGACCCACGTCGAATAAAATAGAGATTCTCTAATGAAATATCAAAGGCAAAGAATTAAAGGCGAAGAAAAGATTCGAGGGTGAGGCGGTCACTTCACTGACGTGTGGTTTACATACTCAGTCACAAACTCTTTCCCCAAATTGACCCCTAAAACCAAAAATCAAATTGAAAAAAAAATAACCTAAAAGAGCCATTTGTTTCATTTTACCCTCACAAACCTCAAAATCGTCCTCCTCCATCAGCAACATCCATGGCGGCCACTTCCAGCATTTCCTCTTCCCTCTCTCTCAATGCTAAACCCAATAAACCCTCCAAGCCTTTCCGCTTCCTCCGTAACCACCTCCTTAAACCCTCATTTTCCCCTCTTCCCGCTTCTCTCTCCACCTCATCTCCTTCGCTTCATCATACAGTTTCTTCATCGAGAAACTCAAACCACCCTCTCGCCCTCCTCGCAGACAACGACGACTACGACGAGAAGCCACGCGAGGAGTGCGGTGTCGTCGGAATCTACGGCGACTCTGAAGCTTCACGCCTCTGTTACCTAGCTCTCCACGCGCTTCAACACCGAGGCCAAGAAGGTGCAGGCATCGTCACCGTCAGCAAAGACAAGGTTCTCCAGACAATCACAGGCGTTGGGTTGGTCTCGGAGGTGTTCAACGAGTCCAAACTAGACCAATTGCCCGGCGACATCGCCATCGGCCACGTCCGTTACTCCACCGCCGGCTCCTCCATGCTCAAAAACGTCCAGCCGTTCGTCGCCGGGTACCGATTCGGCTCCGTCGGCGTCGCCCACAACGGGAATTTAGTCAATTACACGAAACTCAGAGCCGATCTCGAGGAGAACGGTTCGATTTTCAACACCAGCTCCGACACCGAGGTCGTGCTTCATTTGATTGCCATCTCCAAAGCTAGGCCCTTTTTCATGAGGATTGTCGACGCTTGTGAGAAGCTTCAAGGTGCGTATTCGATGGTGTTTGTTACCGAGGATAAGCTCGTCGCTGTTCGTGACCCGCATGGGTTTAGGCCTTTGGTGATGGGTAGGAGAAGTAACGGAGCTGTTGTGTTTGCTTCGGAGACTTGTGCTCTTGATTTGATTGAGGCTACTTACGAGAGAGAGGTTTATCCTGGTGAGGTTTTAGTTGTGGATAAGGATGGTGTGAAATCTCAGTGCTTGATGCCTCACCCTGAGCCAAAGCAGTGTATTTTCGAGCATATATACTTCTCGTTACCGAACTCGATCGTGTTTGGTCGGTCTGTGTATGAGTCTAGGTATGTGTTTGGAGAGATATTAGCCACTGAGTCAGGTGTGGATTGCGATGTGGTGATCGCTGTGCCTGACTCTGGCGTTGTGGCTGCTCTTGGCTACGCGGCGAAAGCCGGGGTTGCGTTTCAGCAAGGTTTGATTAGGTCTCATTACGTTGGGAGGACGTTTATTGAGCCGTCTCAGAAGATCAGAGACTTTGGCGTGAAGCTGAAGCTGTCCCCTGTTAGAGGTGTTTTGGAAGGGAAGAGAGTTGTTGTTGTGGATGATTCGATTGTTAGAGGAACGACTTCGTCTAAGATTGTGAGGTTGTTGAGAGAAGCGGGTGCGAAGGAGGTTCACATGAGGATAGCGAGTCCTCCGATTGTGGCGTCTTGTTATTACGGGGTGGACACGCCTAGCTCGGAGGAGCTGATATCGAATAGGATGAAGGTTGATGAAGTTAGGGATTACATTGGGTGTGATTCTCTTGCGTTTTTGTCGTTTGAGACTTTGAAGAAGCATTTAGGGGAGGATTCTAAGACTTTCTGCTATGCTTGCTTTACCGGGAACTATCCGGTGAAGCCGACGGAGGATAAGGTGAAGAGAGGAGGAGGGGATTTTATCGATGATGGTCTTGTTGGAGGAATGAACAACATTGAAGGAGGTTGGGTTCGATAGATTGCAGGGAGAGGTCTGCAAATGAAAACAATTTTGGGTATTAATGGATGGAGTTGTATGATGACGAAATCTTAGTTGAATTTTGTGGTCCATTTCACCTAATTTCTGCATATTTTTACTATTACTTTGAGTCATGTGGGTTTGTTCTTGTCTTTGAAACGTTTTTGATCTTTTTTTGTCTAATAGCAACTTCTAAAACAAGGTTAATAATTGCCTGCTTAGTTTTTTTCAGATACTAGAAAATGTTAAGTAGATTATAACTCCCATTTATTTTTACCAAATTTATCATTCACTTGCGACAACCGCATAAAGTTTTAATCAAACGCAATGTAGACCGTAATCCTCGCATGTATTAGTAATTATTCAGAAGTTTTTATTTGGTTAGATAAAAAGAGAACAAATCAAAACTTTACACAAACATTTAAACTGATTTTTTGGTAATACCAAAAAGTCTTTGTGAGCTACAATGCAACACATATTTTCATAGTTGGTGTGTTTTATTTTGTTGAGTGTTTTTTTTTTTTAAAAAAATTGTAGAGTTTAGAGAACATATATGAATTAAAAAAACGAATTCATTAGTCCAAATTTTGTACAAACTCACATATAGGAATATGCAATGAAGTCAAAACGACCTTAATGACATGAACAAAACGAAACAATTTGAGTAAGTAAAGGAATTTCATATTCTTTTGATTTTTCTATCTAGGCAACAAAAAATTTCTTCTTATTCGTGTAGCGATTTTTTTTCTTTCTTAGGTAACTATTTCTATATATGCAGCAACTAATCTCTTGGGTAAACATTCCTCTTTTGCATTTCCTTTTCATTCACTTTGAAAAACGAATATCACTCGATTTCCGGTTCGGTTAAATATGTCCCATAGTTTTAGAGTCGGCAAAGGAAATTATGTTGTTTTAGTTTTAAGATTTTTGTCAATATTCTGTTTAGATGGTTTTATCTTCCCTTATTATGAGATTTCTCATAATCATCTCTCCAACGTTTTCTCCTTACGAGTCTTGGAATCAGACATAGTTAATATTTTCTCCTTACGAGTTTTGGAATTGGACATAGTTAATGTGGTTCTTGGTTCTGACGTCCTTCACCGGTGAGTAGAATGAAATGTGTTGAAGCATGAGAAAGCATCCGTATTATCCAGATAAATGTTCCACTCAGCAACGGTGAATCATAGTATTTCTTAACACAAAATTTCAGATAGAAAAACAAATTAAAAATAGATAAAGAAAAAAAATGAAAACAAAAAATTAGAATTAAATTACTTGTTTTATTGTAGGAAGGAAACGAGAGCACGGATGCATCAATGACACTGCAACAGTCAAGTTGATACGTCATCGACTCGAGTTGATTAAAAAGCCGAATAAAAAAATTAGCGGTGAAATTTATCTAATACATCATCGACTCGATTTTACTTCCCCGCGCCATCACTGTCCTCTCAACGAAAATCAACTAAATCAAAATCAAAAGTAAAATTTAAGTTTATAACCAATCAATCAAGTTTTGTTATTTCATTGTATCATTCTGTTCCACACGTTATTTTATTCATAAGCAACAAGCAAGATTAGGTAAAGTACAAGTTTAAAAGAGAGATCGGAGTTTAGTCATCTATAAAACTCAATAGATTAACATAGTACTTGTGAGCTTGTGAAGAAACCCCAAACATAATGATCGTTCTAGTTCATGTCGTTTCAAATGGACCGGTTTACGTTGATTCAACCACACAAGTGAGCGAGCGAGGCTGGATGCAACTCGTCCACGTCACAGTTGATTACATAAATGTACTATTATACCCTCACATACAAGCTCTAGTGGATATTGTTCTTGTTTCGTTGCTTCCCCTTTTTCTATTTTCTCACAAAGCTTTTCAAATCCAAAAAAGTAGTCAGAAGAGAGAAATTAAAGAGATTAAGGATCCAAAGTGGCGCGATGCATAATCTGCTGCTCCACACCCATCAATCTCACTTCTTCCTCCTCCTCCATCCTCCAATCTCCACCGTCCGTTCCCAGACGCAGGCTTTCCATTTCCCGCAATCAATGGCTCCGGCTAACCTCCGTACGAATCTCTCCGTGCGCCGGAGCGTAAAGTGTATGGCGAACCAGAGGCGAGTGAAGATGGTGGCCAAACAGATAATGAGAGAACTCTCCGACATGCTTCTCACAGACACGGTTTTACAGCACGCCGTGTTGCCCGAAGCTTCACTTGGAGCCGACCGCTATCTCTCTTCTCTCACCACCATCAGCGATGTCGAGGTCTCTAATGATTTGCAGGTAAAAATCCCTAATTTGCCACTCCTGTGTATATATTCGTTTGCAGCTGGAGTAGAAATTTAGGGTCTTTTAAATACTTGCTTCCGGAATTGTATGTCCATTTTCTGCTTAATTTGATTTTTTGATTCAGTTGATGTTATATTGTGGCTTGCTCATCAGTTAATGACACAAGCAATTCATCGTTTGTGATTGATGAGGAAACTTTGGTATTGCAATTAGGAGCTTGAAAATGGTTACTTTTGGGATTGTAGGTGGTGAAAGTGTATGTGTCAGTGTTCGGGGATGATAGAGGGAAAGATGTTGCGATTGCTGGTTTGAAATCGAAGTCTAAATACGTGAGGACTGAGCTTGGGAAGCGAATGAAGCTGAGATTGACACCTGAGGTCAGGTTTATTGAGGATGAATCCATTGAAAGAGGAAGCAGGGTAAGAAGACTTACTCTATACATCTTTTACAATAAAAATAAACATCAGAGAACTGAATTGGAGGTTGTTTCAGGTGATTGCGATACTGGACAAGATAAAAGCTGAGAAAGGAAGCGGTGATGGTGTAAACGAAGAGGGATCAGAACCATCTGAATCAGCAGAGGATGATCAAGGTTGGGATATGGATGATCCTGAAGAAGAAATCATCTATGTAAAGTAAAGCAGTTTATGCAATCAACTTATCTTGGAGTTAAAGCTTGGTAGATGGTTTAGGAGAAATCTCATTCATCTTTTGAACGGAAAAGACGAACGACATAGTCTTAAACCAATTGTGTGTGGATCATGAAGCTTCTTTAGTCCTTGGCTTAGGTCTCTTCTCAGTTCTCTCTGCTTGGCTGTAATCTCTCCCTTCTGTTGGTGTTAGTGTTAGTGTCAAGTTCTCACAATGACCGTAGAAGAAATAAACCAACGCAAAATTGAAATCATAAGTAACCGAGTTTTCAAATCGGTTTTTAAAAGAAAACTGAACCGAAGCACAATGAAAACCGGAGTGGGTACTGAAAGTTGATTTTAAAGTAAATTGGGCTTGGTTTGAATCTAGAAGTGGCCCAGGAAGAAGCCCATATGACGTGGTCGTCTCTGTTATAGACGAAGGAACGTTGTTCCCTTCCACTCATCTGAAAATATCAAAACAAAAAATAAATAAAATCACGGGAGATATCCACATCTCTCTCTCCATTTCTCTCTCGCCAGATTTCAATCATCGAATCGGTTTTTCAGATTTGAGATCGCAGAAATACAAACCTCGACATGTCGACATTCAGTGGCGATGAAACAGCTCCCTTCTTCGGTTTCCTCGGCGCCGCAGCCGCACTCGTCTTCTCCTGTAATCCATCTTCCTCTATTCGCATCTGATTTATCCTCTTCCAAATCATTTTTGGTTTTCAGATTGTTCTCCCAATCCATTTGATCTGATTCTTTGTTCCGTGATCGTCTTCCTGATTTCTGGGGAAAAATGTATTGAGATTTGTATAATTGCTTGAGAATCTCAAACTGCGTGATAGCACTGTGGATCGCTTTTCTGATTGATTTAGTAATGGTTTAGGTTCGATCTGCATCCAGAAAGAATAAGAATTTTGTGATTCATTCGATACGATTTGCAGTTGACCGTGGATCATCTGATTGAGCATTGCTTTTCGATCACAATTGTGTTTTTGTTGTTTGGCTGTAAATCTGAGATCAGGTTCGATTCGAATTTGTTGTGCATTCCTCGATATTAGACGCAGAATTCGAGTAATCTTATGGGATCCAATAAGATTGTTTACTTTATCTATTGGAAACGATGTTTAAACCTGTGAATTTGATTGGATGGATAGGTATGGGAGCTGCTTACGGAACGGCAAAGAGTGGAGTCGGTGTGGCTTCAATGGGAGTGATGAGGCCCGAGCTGGTGATGAAATCGATTGTCCCAGTTGTTATGGCTGGAGTTTTGGGTATCTACGGTTTGATTATTGCCGTTATCATCAGTACCGGAATCAACCCAAAGGCTAAGTCTTACTACCTCTTCGATGGATACGCACACCTCTCCTCTGGTCTTGCTTGTGGTCTTGCTGGTCTTTCAGCTGGAATGGCCATTGGGATTGTTGGCGATGCCGGTGTCAGGTTCGTCCCCTCTCCTGCAACTTTTACAACAAGTTCACAGATTTATGGATATGTGACATTGGTTCTTGACTTGCTCGTTTGTGATCTTTTTTTTTCAGGGCAAATGCACAGCAACCTAAGCTCTTTGTTGGGATGATTCTTATCCTTATCTTCGCAGAAGCGCTTGCTCTTTACGGGCTTATTGTAGGAATCATCCTTTCCTCAAGAGCTGGACAGTCGAGAGCAGAATGAGAAAGTAACTACAAGATTGGCTCCAAAGGTATTTCGTTTACTTCAGTGTGCGTTTTGTTGTTTTATCGTTCTTTAGTATGTATCATCGAGAACCCGAAAAAAATTTACTGAATTCTTTGAACTTTTGTTTCGGAAGCTAAACCACCCAATTGTCATTTCCCTTTTCTCTTCCGGTGGTTGTTCTCCGATGTAGGGATTTTTCATGTTTGGTTCTGTAATAAAGAGCTTTGAGGAGCTTGGTATGTTTTTTTGTATTATTGTATTGTCCTGAGGAAGTTAAATTACATTTATTTGTAAAGAAAGTTTCCTTTCTGAAACCATATTGAGTCTTTTGATGAAATTAGTCTGCGATGTGTTTTGCTCTCATTTGGTGTTTGTGTTCCAAGTTTCAACTTTGTTGCTGTATTTCTCTGTGATTTAGGTTTTGATTATTTCAAAATACTTCTGTTCGTTTTACAAATAATCAACACAAACCCTTTGTGTCAATAAAATTTTTCTTCGAATACCCAAAGCTGTATATTGTCTTGAAGAATTTGAATAACATTACAAAGCTCAATTGTGATAGTGGTTTAAATGTGTAAGTGGAAGGATTTGGAAGCGTTAGAAAATATAGTAGTGGTTATTCTCGTTTTGTCATCACTCTCGTGTCTTGTGCCACAACTCCAAATTTTGTTCCCATTCAAATGAGCTAATGCATTAGGTGATGCCATATCTTAAACTAATTATAATTTACAATTCATATTTATGGATCCCGTAATTACTCGTTAAGTGTAAATTGTCTTAGAAAACGTCAACGATATGCAAGATCTTTCACGTGATGTATGTCCATCTAGAATTTCGTAAAGTTTCCACTTCCACATCAAATTCGGTACAGTATTTTATCAGTTTATGTATAAACGTGTTTAATTGATTAATATTTGGTTGAAGAGATGGTAGTGGGCAGTTAATGCAGTGCCAAAAACTCTTATTTAGACTAGTTACCTTTTGGACATAGAAAACTCTTATTTCTTGTTCGCACACCTGTATATGAATAGGTTATGAAAAAATAAATAGTATTATCATAATTTATCTATTGGAGTTGTCTTACACCATGTGATCCACTACGTTAGCTATAGTCCGAAAACATTGAGTAATTTACCTATAACAAATAATATTGCATATACTTTGTTGATTATGGTGTCGTGTATATTTTAGTTACATCATATCCACAGAACTTGTTTCAAATGGTGCCATGGTGGTAAATGTGAATTGTATTGCCAATTAATTTAGATATGTCATCGTTTTAATCCTGACACAAACACAAATAAAGCTATCCACATTGCAGGCTTGCTCACTTGCATACTAATGGGGATCATGAACTTCTTGTTATATTATTTGGATGTAGTATAGTTACGGACAGTAGTCGATTATTGCTAGCTCCACATTCAAAGAAAATTGCAGAAAAAAAACTCGCTTTTCTAGCTCCACATTCAAAGAAAATAGCAACACAACTATTTTAGTAGTGATGGCTTTTCCCTTATTATTAGTAATGAAAACCACTTAGCTAATTTATTATTGTTAATCTTCTCTTGTTATAAGAGTATTATAAAGTGTCAATTAGACCACAAAATGTAAAGTTTGTTGTTTTATTGCTATAATATATACATGGCCGATGCCAAAAAGTATGGGAGTGTTATCTTCAGAAAAGGTGCGGTCAAAAGAGAACACGACAGCTAATTAGTTTGGTATACTTTTCTGCAAGGGCAACTTATTAGTTTCTTTTGGTTTTGTATTACATATGGATTGCATATGGATATGTTAGTCAAATAAAATTTCGATGAATGGTCTTACGTGCTTATGCAGTGAATTAGTCAAAGTTATGTGACTTATGACAGCACCAAAAACTCCGACGACTGCATAGTTGATGATATATGGCAAAGCATTGAGCTTAAACTATGGTTTTATTCATACTTAGCCGTATTTAGTCATATTTACATGTTTGATTTTGCATTAGTACCTTAATGATTAGAACATTTCTGAAAAACGTTCAGATGAATGCATAAGAAAAATAGACTATATTTTTTTTTAAGTATATTTAACTAAACGAGTTGGACACGGCACGTTGGAGTTGATTATGGAGAGTATCAAAGTCACTGCGTATAATGCGTAGCCTTAATTTGACCATCCACATGACCAGTGACAACGAATTCTCCAAATCACACGTCGCGCAATTAAGAGCTATGTTTAGCGTACGTTTAGCCGATGGGATATCGAGATTTACAATCTCAATTAAGACTGTCGTATAATTTGTATGACTCATTACGAATATCGTTATAACTTGAGGAATAACGCGAATGTTTCCTTTGGACAAAAAAAGGAATAGAATAGTAATGAAAGATGAAATGAAAGAGCACTATTTACGAATACGATAGCCATAAAAGAGGAGTGTGTACGTGTGCCGTTCGTGTTCAGTAAACGGCCGTTTACCGCCGTCAACGCGTTTTCCTTTTCCTTATTACACTATATTTTTGCATATCGCAATGAAAAGAAGACACATATAGACAACAAAATCAGAAGAAAAGATTTAAACTAACGGTCATATGTTTAGTTTAATACCAAAAACAATCAAGACTGGCCCGATTACATGAAGAAAAAATCAAAGAAATTAATAGAGCAAGTACAGAGCGTTGAATAGCTCTGAACAAACACAATTTATTAGGGAAGAATGGGGAGACTTCAATAGACAAACAGAAAGACTTCAATGTCCATGATCTCTTTGCCGTTGGACACCATCCCCTTAAGACACTCTTGAATTCAATGCTATAATGATATTTATAGTGAGTTCACTGCCCCAAACAACTAAAGAAAGTTGCAGCACACAGATTAAAATGAAATAAAACACAACTAGCTCACTAAAAATTGGAGAAATCAATAATGTTACTTGTCAATTCAACGTTTTTGTTTACCTTTCTCCTATGCATTTGACATTGCAAAACATGAAAACCAGATAAGCTACAAGGATTCTAGCGATTACAAAAGCGTCAACAATTCGTAGCAAAATTAAAACCAATAATACGATAACTGTTTTTTATGTTGAAAAAAACAATGTTCTAGATATAGCTGCAAAGGCTGTTTTGACGTCGGGTAGGTTTCAACTGTCCTGACCCTAGTGTTTCATCATATTCATGCATCGAACACCTCGGTAAACTTTTCCCAAAAAACGTGTTTTGTTATGAATTTAAAATCAAATGTTCTATAAATAAATCGATAATATTTGACTATAGTATCTAACAAGAAATGAAAGCATGACACGTAATAATTTAAACATGAACAGTATAATATATATATATATATATATATACGTCTTGGCCTCTTGGGTGACAGCAGTGATCCAAGCCAAGGTTGCGGAATTTAGAATGAATACTATACTCTTTTATCCTTTTCTCAAAAAAAGTATTATACTCTTTAATCATCACTAAAGCTAAGATGACAAAAGAAAATAAAACTCTGATGCAACTTGAACTTACTCAACACCAAACAATATTTGTAATTTGTAAATGGTCGTTAACATAAATTGTATGTAAACCTAAAAACAATATATCATTTAGGGCCTAACGATATATGAACATCGTGAAAAGCATGTTCTCTCAGACTCAGAGCCACAATAATCAGTCTGGACGAAGGTTTTAATATCGACTGCTTACAAAACATTATTGACTCATGGTCCCGAATAACAAGAAATGGCAAGTATGGCCCGTACGTAACGGTGTTTCGCATTTAAAATACGCTAACACCACAGCACTCTCAAGAACATTAATTGGAGGCAACATCCAACAAAACCGTAGACGTGGCAAAATCTGATCCGTTGGCCTTGATCTCCTCCTTAGATTAGATGGATATGATATCGTTTCGGATTCGGTAGTATCTCTCGTCCACACACGATAAGGTCGCACGGGTCAGGTCAAGAGGAGAGGCACCAAATTTAAAGTTCTTATTTCTTAACCTAAAAAGAGAAAGAAGAAGCAGAGAGGAAACAGCATAGCGCAACCACACTGCCCACGTAAGACATCCACGCGGCGGCTCGTAGCCGAGTGTGTTCGGTGACCAAAACAGAATCTCATTCTCATAAATACTCCAATATGGCCAACTTTCTTTACTTTTTCATTTTTGCTAAAGTATTCAAACTTTCTTTCTTTTCTTGCGTCAATTTTATGATTGCCAGATTCTATTTTTCTTTTTCGATCCGCAACTGAAAAAGGAAAAAACAATTATAAATTGGTATGTTTTTTTTTCTTCTCAATAAGTGATTTACTGGTGTCAAAATAAAGAAAAAGAAAAAGTAAAAGTAATACTATTATGAGACATATTACCCAATTATTGGTTGGTCATGTTCATGTGTCAGTGTTACCTTAAGACACAGTAGTACAAGAAGGACCACCGTTCGAACCACCTCAGCGCAAGACCTAAAACATAGGTTGCTTACGTCCGCAAGATAACCATGAACGTAGTATGTTTGCTGATAGATTTGTATGAAATTATTAGTTGGATTACTCATCCAAAAATGTGCAAAGTGGAAAACATATTTTAGGAAAACATCTTGAGATAATTTGACATAACATGCGGACCAATAGAGAATAAACAACATTTACTTCCATTTTTAATTTAAGGAAATTCAAATATATATTTTTAATAATCAAAATTTGGTATTTTTCAAAATATTCATATCAGCACCCTTTGGACAAATCTAAGTACTATGAATATAATCTGCTAACTTTTTACTAATTAGATTTTAATGAAACATCGTTTGGTTATCAGCACCTGGATGAATCTATGACGTACGAAATTAAAATCTAGGATAAATTATTTTAGACTTTTAGTTGTCCTTTTTTTGTCGGTTATTTTACGTGTAAAGTGAAAAGTAAAAAAGCTAAAATGAAATTATGAGAAAAGAAACGGAAAAGAAAATCAAAAAAGCAATAGTAAATGGGCCCCACAGGCCCAAATCCAACTTGCCTCAGTCTTAACCTTCTTCGTCTTCTATTTGTTCCTTGCTTTGCTAGCTAAAGCTTTTTCCCCGGCTATATAAACAAGTGCAATTCTCTTCATCAAACTCACGCCTCTCTTCTCCGAATCCGTTACCCCCTTTTTCCGCTAGGTTTCCGTCTCTGTTTTCTTGCATTTTCCAGAGAATCTTCGCATTATTCTTCCCCTTTTTTAATCCCTCCCTCAAAAATTCACAATCTGCATAGCATAAATTTGTTGTTGAGATTCAGATTTGGATATTTCCGTTTTCTCACCAAATTTTAACCAAGTTTCTTCTGAACGGTCATCGTGGAGATTCTCGGATCAGGCAGGGCTGCGAGAGGGGGGTTTCACGGCGGGGATAGATTCATCTTCTGCCTTCTTTTGAGGGGGTAGCCGGGGCTCCGGCCTCGGCGGTTTTTAAACCCCTACCTTTACAAATTCTGGGAAAATTTCGTTCGTTTTCAATTCCCGATTTCTCGTCTCTCGAAAGTTTTTTTTCTCTGTTCGTGTTCGAGAATTTTCCGTAACGTAGATTGTGATCGCTGCTGAAAGAGGGTGAAAGAAGATGCCTGCTCTAGCTTGCGTAGATACCGCCTTTGCGCCTCTCCCCACCGCCGGCGACGTGTTTATCCCGGCGTCACCAACTTCCGCCGCCGTTGTCGACAGCTCCTGCCGCTGGTCCTCGTCTCTCTCCTCCTCGCTTTACCGGATCGACGGATGGGGAGCTCCTTATTTCACCGCCAACTCTTCCGGTAACATCTCCGTTCGTCCTCATGGCGCCGAGACTCTGCCTCACCAGGACATCGATCTGCTCAAAATCGTTAAGAAGGTGACGGATCCGAAATCCTCCGGCGGTTTGGGATTGCAGCTCCCGCTAATCGTCCGGTTCCCAGATGTGCTGAAGAACAGGCTCGAGTGCCTCCAGTCCGCGTTCGATTTCGCGATTCAGAGCCAGGGGTACGATTCCCATTACCAAGGCGTTTTCCCGGTGAAATGCAATCAGGATCGGTTCGTCGTCGAAGACATCGTCAGATTCGGATCTTCTTTCCGGTTTGGATTGGAAGCTGGATCTAAACCGGAGATCCTCCTCGCCATGAGCTGCTTGTGCAAAGGCAGTCCTGACGCCTTTCTCGTCTGTAACGGCTTCAAAGACGCAGAGTACATATCCTTGGCTCTCCTCGGGAGGAAGCTAGCGTTGAACACTATAATCGTGCTCGAGCAAGAAGAAGAGCTTGATCTGGTGATCGATCTGAGCAAGAAGATGAATGTGAGGCCTGTGATTGGGTTACGAGCCAAGCTGAGAACGAAGCACTCGGGTCATTTCGGGCCAACCTCAGGCGAGAAGGGCAAATTCGGATTGACCACTACTCAGATCGTTCGTGTCATCACTAAGCTTCGCCAATCCGGTATGCTCGACTGCCTCCAGCTTCTGCATTTCCACATTGGCTCGCAGATTCCATCGACTTCGCTGCTCTCCGACGGTGTCTCCGAAGCTGCTCAGCTTTACTGCGAGCTTATGCGTCTCGGTGCACATATGAAAGTCATAGACATCGGTGGTGGTTTGGGGATTGACTACGACGGGTCTAAATCCGGAGAATCGGATCTCTCTGTTGCTTATACTCTCGAGGAGTACGCTGAAGCTGTTGTAGGTACAATCAGGTTTGTGTGTGACCGGAGATCGGTGAATCATCCGGTGATATGCAGCGAAAGCGGAAGAGCTATAGTCTCTCATCACTCCGTGCTGATCTTTGAAGCTGTCTCGACGGTGAAACCGGTGGTTCACCAAGCGAATCCTGACGATATTCAGTTCCTCCTCGAAGGTGAAGAAGCTCGAGCTAACTACGAGGATCTTTACGCAGCTGTGATGCGTGGAGACCGTGAAAGCTGCCTCCTTTACGTCGACCAGCTGAAGCAGAGATGCGCTGAAGGATTCAAGGAAGGTGTTTTGAGCATCGAACAGTTAGTATCTGTTGATGGGTTGTGTGAATGGGTGTTGAAGGCTATTGGCGCGTCTGATCCTGTTCAGACTTACAACATCAACCTCTCTGTGTTCACTTCGATTCCTGATCTCTGGGGGATTGATCAGCTCTTTCCTATTGTTCCTATCCATAAGCTTGATCAAAGGCCCGGTGCTCGTGGAGTCTTGTCGGATTTGACGTGTGACAGCGATGGGAAGATTGATAAGTTCATTGGCGGCGAAACCAGCTTGCCGTTGCACGAGCTTGACAACAGTGGTGGTAATGGTGGAAGGTACTTTCTTGGTATGTTCCTTGGTGGGGCTTACGAGGAGGCGCTCGGTGGAGTCCACAATTTGTTTGGTGGGCCAAGTGTTGTTCGTGTTTCGCAATGCGATGGACCGCATAGCTTTGCGGTGACTCGAGCTGTTCCTGGTCAGTCCTCTGCGGATGTTCTCCGAGCAATGCAGCATGAGCCTGAGCTGATGTTTCAGACGCTAAAGCACCGAGCAGAGGAAGTGATGCATGGGAAAGGCAGTGGCGATGAAGGTGGTGAAGAAGAAGATGATGGTGGTGGTGATGAGTTCAACAATGTGGCGGCTTGTCTTGATCGTTCGTTTCACAACATGCCGTATCTCGCGACGGAGCCGGCATCACCGAGTAACTCTCTTTCAGCTGCGATCAGTAACCTTGGTTTTTACTACAGCGACGAAGACGGCTTCGATTACCTCTCTGTTTGAGAGGTGGTCGTGCGGTTTGTTGTTGCATTTACTATCGTAAAAATCGTCATTGTACGATTTGTTAGTTTCTTTTTCAATAAATGGATGATAAATCCATCGTTTGTTTAAACAGAATTGATGGAAAGACCATCTTTGTAACTTTTATTTATTTATTTTCCCTTTGAAATGTTGTAGCGTTACTGTTTTACTTATTAAATAAATTGAAGAGAGCCTTTTTCTCTAAAATTCAAACAGTGAACAACTTCGGTCTTTTTGGTCTGCAACATGTTGTCGAGCGAAGAAGAAGATAGAATTCAACGTGAAGAATCGTGTGCTACAAGTTATTTTCACTATTCAGGAATCGAATGAATTAAATAGTTTGTCTAGTTGTCGCTCATTTATTTGGGCTTAAGGTTTCGCCGCATCTTGAACGTTATCGTGGACGATGTGGTTGTGAGTAAAGAGGGAGTGTGACAACACGCACACAAGTTACATACGGAAGATTCTGTCATCTGGCATGTATGTGTGTTAATGACTCACATCTTTATTTATTAGGCTGTGGTGAAGCGGTTGAAGGATTGACTGATATGTGTGGCTCTGGTTTATCTTGTTTGTGTTTTTTTAGGTGATTGCATTATCGAATATCTTTCTTTATTTTTGGGTCACGGTTTGGTGGGCACATATTTCTTTCTACGTGGAGGAGGTGATTTTGGTCCTAGTTATTTTCACAAAGAAAATGCATATTCGAGATAATGTACTGTTTTCATTGTAGTTGTCCGGTTGTTGGCGATAATGCAAAAAAAGAAGCATATAATTCTACAAAAAGAAGGATTAAAATTTAAAGGTAAAAAAGTTTGACGAAGATGGTATAGTATCTTAATATCTTATTATGGTTTCATGTTACCAAGTTGTAGATGATTGTGTCACTTTGTGGTGTGTCATTTGTTGGAACCTGGAATGTTTCATTTTTTCCTAAGAAAAGAAAGTTGCTTGAAATATAATTAAGTTAAACACCCAAAAAAAGAAGAAGATATTATATTCGTAATCAATCTCCACCAACCCCATCGCCATTCTTATAAGGCAGTAGATTAGAGGCACTTCGAACTATTCTAATTAGCTCAAAGATTGAATTACATCAAATATTTTATCTTAACGTTGTTAAAGAATCCTGTATATTATTGATTACAATTCATAACGCAAAAACAAAAACTGCCAAGGGATTATGTTCAATCTTATTTTATTAACAATCTTTGCCTCTACTTCCGTTGGCTAAAATTGTAACCATTTTTTCTTTCACAATGAGATTAAACAAAAATGAGGTGTAGAATTTAGTACTAGAATATCTTTGCTTTGAAATTTGCAAATTGGGATGAGAATCGGCTTTTTGTTCACAAGTTGAGCCATTTACTTTCTCAAACATGGTCCTTACTCCTTACAAAGATGACAAAATGTAGCGTGACGACATAAGTTTGCTTGGAATGGAATCAGTCGAGATTCCCAATTTGGAATTCTTGGTCCTTGATACACAAAATTCTCGATATGTTGGTTCTTGTCTATACGCTGCGTTTCTAGTAGAAATATGAACTATGAGGAAAGACCGAAAGAGACAGGTTGATGATCAAGACAAGAGACAATATGAACAAAGAAAGTGGCTTGAGCCATCGCAGCCAAAGTTAGACTTATTGAGACTCGAGGACTATATCGAAAGAACTAATTGTTCTGTTTATAGTTTAACCGTTATTCAATTAAGCAGTCAAAGTAAAAAAGAAACACACTTATGTTTTACTCATTCGTTTTCATGGTCGGAACATCCATGCTTGAAGAAATATAAACCAATTTGAAACAAAAGAGTGTCATGGAACGAAACATTTTTGGAAAACTACAATTGGTCCATCAAAGTTTCAACCTTGAAAGTCTCTCATTTATCTGCTGAACCATAACCACCTGATGCTTCAATCTGCAACATACATATAACACACACACCATTAAAACCGAATGTCTTTAGCGAGGGACATTTGTGAGAATAAACAGAAAACTATTGTGGATGCAACATTAGCATTTGATGAATATCCAACTTACTTTATTGATGGGCATGAAAAATATGCAAACGAGGTTTATGGGTTGTCTTCAAGACCATAGTTGTACACAATCTCAATCTGCACATCAGTCACAAAAGAAGATCAGCACTTGCTTAAGAAGAAAGAGAGATCAATGAGAAAGGAAAGTGATAAGTGTTTGAGAAGAAGAATTACCCCAGCAGGTGGAGTTGGGTTTCTATTGAACTTTGAGCCACCAGGAGCCCATGGAACTACAATCAGAAACAATGTGTGTCAATTCAAAGAAGTTGACCGTTCTCGTTCCCTAACGTGAGACGAAATTCCTATCAAATCAACCAGGATTCATTATATGGGTCAAGATCCTTACCGATATAAGGATCAGGGTGCCGCCATTTGTCGTATTCTGCTTCACCATGAGCAATCAGTTTGTCGATTCTGTCAACATCCTCCTACAAAAATACCCCAAAACAAAGGAACATATCAGAGACTCAAGAGGTACATTCGCAATCACCGATTCTGTCACTGTATCAGTTGTTGGAATCAGAAATTCTCTATATGATTCTCAATTCCAGTTTAGAAAAGTACGTCATTTACTTATAATTTTAAAAACATCATTTCAGGAGGATGACACTGAAGCATTAATCATAAGCTAACGGATTGCAAAAGCAGAGCTCAACATAAGAATGAAGAACTATGGAACAGCATTTCTGTGAAAGAAGCTTTGCACATTTACTTGTTTCGACAGAATTTTCCAAAGACTTCATATTTGATAAGAGCAGAAATATGAACAACAAAAAGTCGCCAAATTTCTCATGAAAATTTTCCATTTCGACTGATTATTGAAAAATTCAATCAAAAATCAAACTAGCAAGGAGGTAACAAGAGAGTCTAAGATGAGAAGAGAACGAACCACATCTTGGTTGGCATTGAACTTCTCGCGCAGATCAGAAGCCTGAAAAGGAACGAAGATCAAAGGAAAATCAGAATCCAAAATGCGAGATCGGAAAAACAGAAACTAAGAAGAAAAAGACCAATTCCGATTCGGATATCGACGGAGGAGATCTGAAGGAAGAAATACTTACGTCTCGGTAGAAAATATGACGATGAACAGCCCAATTGAGAGTATCCTTAAGGGCACGACGATAGAGGATTCGAACCCTCTCCTTCTGCGCAGCTCGCCGCGCAAAATACGCCGCCGTCGAGATTCCGCTCATTTCTCTGATTCCGATTGATTTCGAGTCTCCTCCACACTCTTTTCTTCTTCTTCTTCCTCAATCTAATTTCCCTTTTCAACAGTGGGAAACCTTCTCTCTCGTCCAGAGGGACTGAGAAGAAAGTTTCAGATGGGCCTGTGATTGGAGCTTTAATTACAGTAATTCGGCCCACACGTAACTGACTTCATTGTAGGTTGGAAGTTGGAACATAAACCAAAACGATGTTCTTGTTGTTAAACGGACATACACCCAATCAACTGAAAAAGGAAAGAACGAGAAACAAAAAATACTCCGTTGCCGGGACTCGAACCCGGGTCTCTCGGGTGAGAGCCGAGTATCCTGACCAGCTAGACTACAACGGATTGTTGATTAGATATGGAAATTATGTGATGTATCTTCACATAAGGCAGAAATTACTTTTATCTTCTTAGTTCTTACTAAGAGCTTGATGAGAGAATTCATAAGCTTTATAATTAGTTTTACTCGTTCGATTTTCACGACCTTTTTTATGCGTGTGTTTGTGGTGGAGATTGTTTAGGCACGCATTTCTAGCATCAAGAACATTTGCAAACATAAAAACCATGTGCTTGTGAAAGAACACTTATGAAACTACTGACCAAAGGTCCAAAGGGTCCATGGAACTGTGGTCCTTCTATTGTAAGCAGTTGATATGAATTAAGAGCTTGTAACTAGAAACTGAAGCTGGTAACTACTATGAGCTATTTACTGTGATGTGTTTAATCATGTTGTGACCATAGTCTAAAACCTTAACATCTTATGCTTGCAAAACGGATTGAGTTGCTTTGAAGCACACTAAATCACTGTCTAAATAAACCGTTAAAATATTGGCTTAATTAATCTTTAGATGATCATCTATGAGGAGAATCATTTGACTTCTTTGCAACGTGAGACAGAAATATTATTTGGCCATACAGAAAATATGCGAAATGGAATTAAGGTTGCAACCAACCTTTTATCTTTCTTATCTATTTTAGCACAATTCTTGTGGAATTTTCAGAATATTTTTTTCTATTTTGCATTTGCCTTCTCATAGTGTTAGCTTTTATATTGAAAAGTACTTCAAAAAGACTATAGCCACTTCACATGGACCAAAATCATTCTAAGTAGTAGTGGTCGTGGTCTCACATCATTTAAAAAACATAATTTTGCTTATAGAAAAGTAGAAAACCCTGTTTTAGACTAATTCTAAAATAGTTCAAGTTGTTAAATTACAACACTACAGATAATGTTAAAAAAGTAGGTTTTATCTTACCTAAGTCTTCTCTACTACTTTGCTGCCAAATTTGACCTGGTCTGATTTAGTAGTTGCTTCACCTGTTTCTTCACCCAACTCTTTACTCTTTCTCAATTCCAGAACCTTCCTGTGGAGATTAGAGTGAATCTCATTCGAGAACGTTGGACTATCAGCCGGTCTGTATTCCGGACAGAGCCGACCAGACTTAAACCGGACTCCACATGCATTACACAAGGTTTTTGGACCAACCGGACCGGTTCTCCATTGAGGTGTGTTGTTTGTGCCACAATGGCTGCATCTCCGTTGAAACACAACGGCCGTTTCATGTTTCTTCTTCCTCCACTGCTCTGCTGCTGCATGTTGACTGGTTGAAACGAGTGGCCAAACCCGACCACCGGTTAGGCTGTTCCGAGACCGTTTTGTTCTTGGTTTAACCGGAATTCGAGATGAGAAACTTGGTTTGGTTTTGTGGGTTTGAGTGGAGAGAAGTGAAACTTCTGGTGTAGAACAATCATCCACAACACGAGATACCCATTCAAGCTCTTCCACATCTTCATCCTAAATATCAGAACATTTAATTTTTGTTTTTACTAAAAAAAGCTTCTAAAAATATCAAAAATCTTTTAATTATAAGAAGAAAAAGAAGCTTCTACATAAAGTATAATTTACCGGCAAAGAAGGAAGTTGATCAACGATGCAAGGTTGTGAGCTAAAGATGCAATCATGTTCTTGTTCTTGCTCTTCTTGTGAAGAAGAAACAGAGACAAGTTCTTCTTCTTGTTGACCTTGTTCAGAGAAGTCTAGGAAACACTCAACGGAGAAATCTTCAGCAGAAGAAGTTCGGCTTAATTCCTCCGACACAATCACCTGATGCTTTGTAGCTTCTCCTCTTAGACTTGCCTTTAAAGCTCTAGCTTCTGTCCACAGCTCCATTCACTCTTTCATACATACATATAAGTTTCAATTATCACTTGATATAGTTTTAATTCTCACTATTACAACAACAACCATACACATAGCATAAACATATGAAAAGTAGCTAAAACCTAAAGTTTATGATCTACAAAACCGTCTGCGCATGCAACAATTTTTCGACAAATTAGAAAGATGGGAAGAGGAAATAGTTTGTGGGATATACTCATCATAGTCCTTTACCTGACAAAGACGAAGAAGAAAGGCTGAGAGAGAAGGCGAAGAAACAGAGGAGAGAGATGGAGCAAAATAAGAGGGCACTGAAACTAAAGGAGGATTCTTGAAGGGGTTAAAAGGTAATACAGAGACTTTGTGTGTTTTGTGTGTCTGTGCTTCCAATTCCAAAAGTTAAAGCTCTTTTTTTCCCATCTTTTTATTTTCTTTTCCCCTAGTTTATTTTTTCTTAATATTTTCTAGTTTCTGGAATATTACAAAATCTTCTTTCACGAATGATACTAGGCTAGATTGGTATTATTTCAGAATCAATGCTTTCCGCCATCTTTATTTGCCTCTTCATTTCGGTGTAAAATGATGTGTCCTTTTTTTCTCTTAATATCATCACCTTTTGGTAAAAATATAGCACACTCTTTGGTGGGAGATAAATTTGATGTTTTTATGTTTTACAAGAAAATCTAACTATTTGTTTAATATTTACAAGTTTAGTTATGTTTCTTCAAGTGAAATCTCATATTTATTTTCTCTGTGATATTTCATCTAGGAATGAACACTTTATTTGTGTAATTTGTGTACCTAGATTTAGTTATACTTGTATCTTTCTCGGCATTTGTCTACTCACACTGTCTCACACATGCAAACCTTCGGAATTACATTTACTAATCAGATTTTGTTTTTAAAAGCCAAACGAAAAGTCATGGTTTTCTTTTTATTTCCATACGTCAAGATTCTTTGTTTTTTTTCCCTTCATTTGTCTTTGGACCTAATCAATGTGTTCGCTACGTGGATGTTTGGCTTGGGTTTATCTTTCTTTTTTTTTTGTTAAAAGGTCTGCTTGGGTTTATCTTTCGTCACAAATTGATAAGCCAGGTCAGTTTCACATTATTCAATACAATTTGATTGATATTTATAATATATATGTTGTGAAGGGTTATATGATGCTTCTTGTCAATGCCTATTTAGCTTGTCTTGTCAAAAGGGTTGACCATTTCTTTCTTACGAAATGACGAATAGTTTTTAGTTACAACGGTGAATTTGTTATTCCATACTACTACTGTTATCAAAATATACAACTTCTTATGTTACAAAATAAAGTGGTGATAAAAATGGAAGTACAAAGAAATGATAGTATAATTAAAAAAAAAAAAAACAGTATTTCTTTTTTGTTGCATCATCACAATACTTTTGGTTGATTCACAACTTAAAAAATATAAAGTAAGAAAAAGATAATTCAAATTCGATTCAAATACTTTCTCAACACAAAAAACAGCATTAATAAAGTTCAACTAAATGAAACCTAAAAAAGCAATTTACCTATCACTACCCAAAAAAGAAGAGAAGTGTGGATTTCGCTAGTGATGGGAATGGAGAAGATGCAAACCACCGTTAGAGTGGAGTTCACCAAAGACACCACTATAGCCAAATCCTTTAACACTAATAAAGAAACCATTATCAAATAAACTATTATCCTTCCAAGTTCCAACAATGCAATTAAGCTTTCCTTTTTAGTTTGTTTTAAACTAAAGGTCCACAACTAAAGAGTCCTAATTTAGAATATTTTTTGTTTTCGCATGTAAAAATTCTTCAATATTTTATAGACTCGTTCGTTTATGAAGTTAGATTCTTAATCTTTGAATTCAAACTCAGTCGTAGAAGTTATTCATATCCAAAATCAGTTCTGAAGTTAGAACGATGAATATGGATTAGTCTTATTCTAATTTGTTTATTGAGTTTTCAGAAATTAGAGATGGGGTTTCTTTTTTAACGAGTCGTTCCGATCACTTTAGTTTGGTAGTGATATTTTGGCCAACCTCAGTTGGTAGTGTAAATGTGGTGTTATATTTGTATTTATCTATAGAAATTCATGTAATTTTTATATATGTTATTTTTTTTATTTCTTTTATAACTTAAGGAAAAAGAAAACAGAATATATTATCAACAAATGGAATTGGGGAGCAGGCTGGTAAGGTGAGGAGTGACGAAGGTGGAATGGGGCAAAAGGAGAACGTGTCACATTTTCCTCTTACTCCTCGATACAGTATGCATCATCACTCTTCCCCTTTTCACATTTTTCTATATTTGTTTGTTATGTTTTGTACGTCATGAAAATGGAACAGCTTCAAATCTTGTAATATATGCAACTTGTTTCGAGTTTGTGATCCTTGTGTATCTTGGGCAACAAAATATCTACCGTTAGGTTTTGGGAAATTTGTAAAACAATACCCAATCTACAAAAGTTTTACCTCAAAAAAAAAGCAATACTCATTTGTATTTGAAATCCAAATACGTATCGATGCAAATATATTCTTTAAATCAAACTACAGTAACTTCTACATCAAATTGCAAACAAAGAGAGTCAATAGACCAACAAAACACGATATTTTTTACATCAAATTGCAAACAAGAGAAAACAAAGAGTAAAACGGGCAGGTGACGAAAAAGAAGTCAAGACAAAAGTCACAAAACATAATCATTGGGTTTTAACAAAACATAATCCATTTGAAGCACTGAATATTGACAACCAATGTAATCGTTCGTCACACAGGATTGTTAAGAAAATCTTATAAGATCTCAAATCTTAGCTGACGAAACAACATATCATTTCTTCGCACACCGTATAACAAATAATGTATAATACAATAAGAATTGTGTGTGAGGCGGTGGAAAATACGACTGTCAACAAGGAAGAATCAAAACTACAAACTGTTTTAACAAAAATTCTATAGGCAGTGTAATCGTTATCTTGCAATAACAGTTCGCAATTTTAATCCAATTAATGAAACCATGTGTGAGTTCTGTTAAATCCGCATTTCTAAGGTTTTGTCTTTGGAGAAATCTTATTAGATTTTTTTCTCAACTATTTGAAGGAAATGAAGAAAATAAGGGAATCAGAAACAGAACTTAATCTCCGACGACTAAAATGAGAAAAGAGAAACAAGATAAACGAGAAGAGTGATAATAATAGATCATCCATCAAAAACGAGTTCAAAACAACATAACAGAAGTTTTTTTCTTGCCAACAAAAAGAAAGAAACACATCTATAATCCTCTAAGCTCCGATGAGTTCAGTTGGTTCCTCAACAACGTCTTCCGCTGGCCTGTCGATCTTCACACCAACATCCTCTGCTGAGACATCTCCATGCACCTTTAACAAAGTAAAGTCAGATCAGATCGTCTCAATGTTCAAAACAAAAAGGAAAGATAACAATCACATATGACAATCAAAAAGTGATTTCCAATTCATACCTCCATGAGCTTTCCGAGGTCAAACTTGGGAGCCTTGAGGATCTTGACCTTACGGATGAACACGTTCTGCAACGGGTAGATGTTCTGTGTAGCCTTGTCAATCTCTTTTCCAATCGACTCAGGGATGAACTTGGCCACAAGCGCCTTAAGGTCACATGATGAAGCCTCCTTCACCATGATTTCAGTCATCTTCCTGCGGATCTACAATCATCAAAAAACAAACATTTCTCAGAACAAGTGAATCTCAGCTACTAACAAAAAACACAATTAGTCATATGTAGTTCATTTACCTGACGGATCTGGCTGGACTGAGCGTAGCAAGTACGCTTGACCTGGTTAGCACGTCTCTTGGTGAAACCAATGCAGAACATCCTCAAGGTGAAGCCGTCTGTGGTTTTCACATCAACATGGGCTTCAATCAAAGTCTGCCACTTCTTCACCAACGACCTGAGCTTGTCGGTTGTGAAGTCCATACCCTGATAAAAGTACACTGCTTTAGACCATTGTTGCAAAACCCATAACCCTAGAAAACAAGGAAAATGCTGAAAGGGAAGGTCTTTATCAAATCTTACCCAGAATTGGGTCAACACATTCCTTCCCTGAACATCCTCAGCTCTTAGACGGATCTTCCTGTAAGCATTGTCCTCGTCTTTGTTAAGATCAGCAAGGGAAACCTCAAAAATCCTGTGCTTCAGTCCCTCAGAGGCAATCTGTTCATTAATATTGAGCAATCCCAAGGTCAGATATGACAAATGAACAATACTAAGGTAGCTACACTAACTCTTCTCATCTACAAACGAAATCACCCAAATTCAAGTTTCTATCTCCACACGTATAAATCCCTAAACCATTTGCACAACAGATCAAGCAATTCTACATTAAACCCTAGTTTCTCGAGTAGAGTAAGAGGCATTATTACCTTGGTACCCTGAGTCCTGGAAACAAGTGTCTTGCCAACATTTCGCTCGGTGAAAGGACCTGGAGCCTTGACGTCATACCAGTCCTTCTTGGAGAATGGATCAACACTGCACCATCATGAATATAAAACCATAAATATCAAAATTTAAGATTTACTTCTCCTCCTCAATTGAGAAAATCTGAATCAGGGAACAAGTTACTCACGCCTTCTTCTTTCCACTCTTCTTTCCCTTGGAAATCCTCTTGTTCTTCCTGTAAAATCGATAACAAAAAAACCGTAGATAAGAACATTTCCTCGAAGATATCGAACAAGAGATTCTGAATCATAAGCGCAGAAGAGAGAGAGATGCGAAGAGTGTACCCGACAGCCATGGTTACCGATCTCTAGATGGTGGCGACCTCGAGCTGCAGTGACGAAGAAGAAGCGGCTTCAACAACTGAGAGAGAACCTAAAAACTCTGGCTTTTTATTTATATACATCTAGGGTTTTCTTTGTTGAAATGAAACAAATTTATCGCTACTGGATTTTGTTTTCAAGCCCAACGGGCCTCAAGAGCTCAATTTTGCAACTTTTTGGAAACTTCTTGGTGAGACAGAGACTCTCTATCTTTGATTTCTCTCTGTAGCAAAAGAGGAAAGAGTTCGAAAGCGGAGAAAATTTCTTCGGAGTCCCAACGCCATTTCTGACGATTTCGAATCTCTTCTTCGCCGAGCTTTAATTGGTAATCGGAAGGGAGCTACAAGGTGGAAGTTAGGTTGAAGGAGAGAGAAAAGAGGAAGATTTTGAAGGAGCTCTGTGATCTGGTGAACAAATGGATGCAATTAGGAAACAAGCAAGCAGGCTCAGGGAGCAAGTCGCAAGACAGCAGCAGGTGAAAATTTCGAACTTTTCACTGCCCGTTTGTTTAGATCTCGTTTCTTATATCGCCCAGATTTTTAATTTTGTGATTTCTGGTGATTCCGTTGATTCGTTGGTTTCTGGTTAATCAATCATATAATGTGAGGCTAGCTTTTTTCCGGATCGATGTTTTCGAATTGGATCTGAGTGTGCATCTTCCTGGGTTTTAATTGATCTGGTTGTGATGAATACTTTTGGAATTGGGCAAAATCCAGCTGGCTTGGGAAAGTTTCAGCTTGCATAATTTGGTATTTGGTTTGACTCAATGTTTTAGTCAGAATGGTCATTTGGGTTTGGTGATTGGTGACTTGTGGTATATATATACGTTTCACTTTTGTGAGCAGAGAGTTGAAAGATTTCGTAGTCACCTTGGTGATACATAGCTAGGAGGAATTTAAGTTGTCTGGTACCAGAGCTTCTGAATATAGAATAAGTTACGCAATCACGCAAAATGTGACATATACGATGCTTTTTCTTCATACTTGTTGTTATGCTGTTATGTTGGCTACATTTCCAAATTACCATTAGATTGGGTGTTTATTCCTCGGGTTTGAGGGTTAACTAGTACACTGGCTTACTTTTTTTTGGAATGGTTTAAGGCTGTTTTCAAGCAATTTGGAGGAGGAGGATCCGGCTCTGGTTTATCAGATGATGCAGAGCTCCATCAGCATCAGAAACTAGAGAAGCTTTACATATCCACTCGTGCTGCGAAGGTCTTTTTTTTAAGCCTTTGACTATTTGTAGTTTGGTTTACTGTTGATTTGGACTCACACATTCTTCATTTTCAGCATTACCAAAGAGATATTGTTCGTGGTGTGGAAGGTTATATAGTCACGGGGTCAAAACAAGTTGAAATAGGTGATTTTTGTTGATCCTTGAGTGTTGAGTTATAGTATCTTTGTATGTCTGTTATAGACGTGGATTTGCTCATAGGCTTGGCTTTTATTGTGAAATTCATCAGGGACGAAACTGTCTGAGGATAGCAGAAAATACGGCTCAGATAATACATGTACAAATGGGAATGTATTAACAAGGGCTGCACTGAGCTATGGACGTGCTCGGGCCCAAATGGAGAAGGAGCGTGGAAATATGTTGAAGGCTCTTGGTACACAGGTTTGTCTTTCTCATCTTCCATCGAAGTGTTAGGCATTATTGTAAATAAAGTCATATCTTTTGCATGTGATAAAACTACACAAAGATACTTTCCTGCCATTGAAAGTGGAATGACTGCCATTTATGGGAAGATCTATTGCATTTATCTGGATTCTTTTGTTACATCATGTATCTATAAATAATCTTTTGTCATGGTGTTCACTTTGTTCTTTCTTTATTTAGCAACTTGGCTACTACAGTCACATGTCCATCTGTTTACACTTGAAACTGTTAGGTTGCCGAGCCATTACGGGCAATGGTTTTGGGAGCTCCATTGGAGGATGCTAGACATCTTGCCCAACGTTATGACAGAATGCGCCAAGAAGCTGAAGCTCAGGTACCATAGAAAATGGGTGTTTTCCTCTTTCTAGAACTAGTCATTTTTTTATTACTAGTATGGTAGAATTTTACTTATTCGCCTGCGTAAAATCTAAACAGGCTACAGAAGTTGCCAGACGCCAAGCAAAGGCGAGAGAGTCTCAAGGTAATCCTGACATCTTGATGAAACTGGAATCGGCTGAGGCAAAACTTCAAGACCTCAAATCAAATATGACAATATTGGGGAAGGAAGCTGCTTCTGCTTTATCTTCCGTTGAAGATCAACAACAAAAATTGACTCTTGAACGACTGATTTCAATGGTAGCGTGACTGGTTATATTCTCCACCCTTAAATCAAATTTTCATTTACTTATTCCTATGTACTTTTTTGAAACAACTGTTATTGTTCATTCCTGGTCTCAAGGTCGAGTCTGAACGTAGCTACCATCAAAGAGTCCTCCAAATACTTGATCAGCTCGAAGGAGAGGTACAACTTCAAACGTCCTGTCATAGTGATTGTATTCTTGTCGAACAGTCATTTCATTGTTATATGAGTCAACTAAGGGCAAAGTGAATATATTTTGAACTCACAGATGGTATCTGAGAGGCAACGTATTGAAGCTCCCTCTACTCCCTCAAGTGCAGACACTATGCCGCCACCTCCATCATATGAGGAATCTAATGGAGTGTTTACATCTCACATGCATGACACTTCAACAGATAACATGGGTTACTTCTTAGGAGAGGTATGCTACTTAGTCTTTAAAGTCATCTAGTGCTTTTTTTATAAATAACTGACTGTATCTAAGTCCTTTAGGTCTTCGTTTGATGTTCCATTATAATTTAGTTTCCCCTCTTTTTAACATTTCAGGTCTTGTTCCCATATCACGGTGTAACAGATGTCGAACTCAGCTTATCGAGCGGTGAATATGTTGTTGTTAGAAAGGTTTGATAGTAAACCCTGACATAGGAAAATCAACAATGTCTCCTTTAACCGATACGGTTTGAGGGTATCACGTTTTTCAAGAGTGTTTGTTTGATATCACATTTGTCTGCTGCTCACTGTCAGGTTACAAGCACTGGATGGGCGGAAGGCGAATGCAAAGGCAAAGCCGGTTGGTTCCCTTACGAGTACATTGAAAGACGGGAACGAGTTCTTGCCAGCAAGGTGTCTGAAGTTTTCTGAGAAGTTTAAGGTAACATAGTGGTTCCCATTGTTGGTTGTGGAGGAGTTGTGTGCTTTGTAGACAAACAAGAGAAAACACAGAGAGTGACAAGATTGAAGGTGAGGCGTATCTTGTCCCACAAATCATCAGCTAAACAGAAATCCAGATTCATCTCGGATATGGAGTTCGGTGCAGGTTTATGTAATTTCTGAATCTGATAGTGATGCCACTAGAGCAAGCGATTCGTTTGTAGGTATTTTCTCAGTTTTGGATTTTGGAACCTCTCTTTGGCATTTGATATAAACGCCAATTCTCTATCTCTATGTGATGTGACTACATTGTTTTTGTGTATTTTTTTGACTTGTCCAATTACTTGATAACCTTTAAACTGTATGAAGTATTATTTGTTATTTCACCTCAAACTCTGCCCTTACAGATTGTTCTGTTTTTTCTAAGGGGAAATTTCAAAACTACACCTTTTGATATGCCAATTTTCAAAAATACATCTCTATTGTGCCAAATTTAAAAATTACACTTTTTTCATTTAGTAAAAGAACTCTAAACCCTAAAATATAAATCCAAAACCCTAAAATCTAACATTAAACTCTTAAATCTAAACCTTAAACCCCAAAATCTAAACCCTAATATAGGATTAGTGAACCCAAACATATATATTAAAATTGGGAAAGGTGTATTTTTGAAAATTTTCACATTATAGATGTAGTTTTGAAAATTTGAACCTCAAAAGGTGTATTTTATAAAATTTCTCTTTTTCTAACAAACAAACAAAAGAAAGCAATAACTTTATTCAACCGACGGATCTCAAAATTGAATGAGAAGACAGAGGCAGTGAAATGGCTCAATATTGACAGATCAAACACTCTTTGCAAGAAAACAGAGTAAGATGGATCAATATAACGTTGATTTGTCGATGTTCATGAGTGCTTCAATATTCCATCACTCTGTTTGCTCCGAGATACACAAATACTATGGCCAGAAGAAGCACCAATATTGCAATCAGCAACATGTAAGAGGTTGATTTCCCTTCGTCGTTAACATAAGGTTTTCTGAAACAAAGAGAGACAAGTATTCATTAATAGTAAACCAAGCAGGTTTTGTAACAACAGAGGGATGTTTTTAGAAGAAACCAAGTTAAAGAAAAGACAGTACCTCTTGTGAAGGACTCCACTGTCTCTGCAGACTTTCTGAATGGCTTCAAGTCGGTTTAGTGTCTTGCTAGCATTTGGATCGTTCTTGTCAACCTATATTAATACATAATATGATAATGTAAAAATATACATATTAGACTCTTCTAAGGACAAAAACAGAGTGACAAAACAAATAACATACCTTTGCTTTCAGCATGCAAGAAAAATCATAGAAGGCGCCATACACATCAGCCATTGTCTTTGTGCGATCCATGACTTTAGCTATTAAACCTAAACAATAGAGAGAGTTTGTTTAACAATATTAGCTTGTAAAACATTCTTAGTCTTAAGCCAGAAATGAAAAGATGAGAGATGGTGTTAGAGATTGCATAGCAAAATTTCTGAGATTAAAAATCTTACCTCGCCTCATTTTCACCACTCCTCTAAATACTTGTACATTGTTATAGCATAATGCAAGTGTTCCAATGTCCACAATCTAATTAAAGTAAAATGTTAAAGGAAAGTAACATGTGAAAATATAAGGAATTTTTGTTTTCTCTAACCTGAGGGATAGCACAAAAGTTAAATATCGCAGGATCACGCAATGCAGCCATAAATTTTAAGGAATCTTCAACATGAATCAATGCATTAGTGACCATATGATTTAAGCACTGCACTGATTCTGTTGATTTCTCCTCATTTTTCAACTCCTACATTATGATAATTCACAAAAAAAAAAAAAGTCTCATTGTGTTTTAAGTTTGAACATGATGATATCATTTAGATGAGAGCTTGAGAGCGAAATGTATATTCACCTCAAGCTTGTCAACATATTTGCCCCAAATCTCACGAGGCCAATACATGCGTGGTTTTGGTATCTCAGTAATGTCTTCAAGATAACTTTTGATAATATGTGTTTTCTGCGTATAAGATGAAAAAGATATTTCAAATATTTGTGGAAGAAACCTTGCATATTGTACATGTTATAATTGCCATTTTGTTGTACCTCTAAGAATAAACCTGTAGAATTTGAAATCTGCTCCCAGTCTGGAGTTAGTGTTTCTAATTCCGAAGCGAGGAAGAGTTTTGACAAACCTAAACCCACAAGTCCAGCAGCATAATGACAGTATTCATCATAATCATCAACCGTTTCAACCTGTTGATGCACAAATCATTTTAGCACTTTGACAAAGCAAGTCAACTATATATTAAAATCAACAATAGATAGATATCTTTGCATTACAAACCTCCTTGCAAATGAACTTGGCCATTCCTGCACCAACTCTTTTAGCTATGTCTTTAATAGCTTCTTGATAACTTTTGTATAAGTTAGGAGAACAACATACAGTACGTTAGCATATATTGTCAGAAAGTTGATTAGAGATTCGACAATTCAGTAAACCGGCCAATAAATGAGAAATAAGATATTTACTAAAACAGAGGAGAATTGTATACAGAAAATTTTAGCACTTAAATAACCTTTTTTCAAGTTGAAGAAAAGCTGCTGAAACATGGTGAAATTCGTCCATGAGAACCTTACACTCCTTAGTACCACCTAAAAATATATTAATTAAAGAGTAAACTTTAGTAAAAAAAAAAAACTTGCTTATGAAAGATTAAGATGTGAAGAGACTCTTCTTACTAACATGAAAAATGCCAGTCAGGATCGTATATGTGACGGTGGAAAGCTATCAGAACTGGAACCTTGGTCTCCATTGGTATGCTTAGGTCATCCTCTGTGTAGTGACAGAAAATACAAAAGTAGATGAATTGATTTTCCCATCAAAATTTTTATGTCACTGAAGAAATGAAGATCGATCTATATTATTCATACAAACATGAATACATATTAAAAAAAGGACAATATATATATGGAGAAGAAGCACTAACCAACTGTATCAAGAGCTCGGAGAATCAAGTAAAACACACACACCTGATTTTTATGTGTTAAAGGAAAATGGAATAAGAAAACGGTGAAATCATTGCTGTATATACAATGGAACAGAGCCTATCACAAACTCTTACTTGAGAGCTAATTCCATGTTTATATTCTTAGACGAAGATAAAAAAAATGGCAAAGAAATACGTACGGTGTTACGAAGCTCGGTGCCTAACTGTTGAATAACAAGAGAAAAGGTTTTAGAGACTTTGCTGAGCGTTGAATAACAGAAAGCTAAGTGTGGATCGAGTGGGATCTGATTCTGAGCTTTCGTAATGGCAAATTTCAACTTCAAGAGCGGATAAATCTCATCTGGGTGTCCCAGAATCGTACTCAAGCTTCCCATTTTCATCAAAGAGAGGAAAAATAGTCTCCTTAGAAACAGTGACAAGAGTGTCAGGTTCGTTGGGGGGAACAAAACAGAACACTTGGTTAAATAATGTAAGAATAATGCAAATGTAAGACTCTTAACGTGCCACGGACAACGGTGAGAGATGGTTATTGCCTTATTGGGTCACGATGTTTTATTTTGTTTGGCACTAAAAAAGCTTTGCCGCGTGATACACGCGAAACGTTAAAAAGAAAAGAAAATATTCCAATATTTATTGCCGACATATAATTACATCATCAGATTATGAATTTATGATAATGTTGATTTGTCAGTGTTCATAAATGCTTTCAATATTCCATCACTCGGTTTGCTGTGAGATACACAAAGACTATGGCCAAAAGAAGCACCCACCATTACAATAATCTGCAACATGTAAGGGGCTGATTTCGCTTCGTCGCTAATATAAGGTTTTCTGAAACGAAGAGAGACAAAGATTTCATTAGTACTAAAAAAAAAAGAGAAATAAAATAAGAAACATAAACCTGTAAAGCAGAGATTAGATTAGTACCTCTTGTGAAGGACTCCACTGTCTCTACATACATCTTGAATGGCTTCAAGTCGGTTTAGTGTCTTACTAGCATTTCGTTCTTGTCAACCTATATACATGCATAATATGTTAATGTAAATATAAAAACAAAAACAGAGTTACAATTAAAACAAAAAAATAAGGATAAAAACAGAGTGACAAAACACACTCACTCTCACACACACACTCTCAATCTCACACTCTCACTCTCACTCTCTCACTCTCACTCTCACTCTCACTCTCACACTCTCACACTCTCACACTCTCACTCTCACACTCTGATCACTCTCACACTCTGATCACTCTCACACTCACTCTCACTATCACTATCACTCACACACTCTCACTCTCACTCTAACTCTCACTCTCACTCTCAAACTCACTCTCACTCTGATAATGATACCACTTGAACAAGATAATATGTAGGTATAATGGATTTGGATCCCTCTTTGACATTTCATGTAAACGTCTTCATATGTGAATGAATACACTTCTTTTTGGGTTTTATTTGTGACTTTTTCAAATTACTTTCATATAGTGATTCTTTTTAAAGCATTGGTCTTCCAAATAACAAAATTCTGGATTCATGTCAGAGTTTGTTCAAGTTAAAGTTTCTATTATTTTCTTTCTTGGCGGAGTTTAATGAGCTTGATGAAAGAACATATAATTTGACCTCAACATAAACAAGGGAGAAACAATATCCATGAAGAAAGGCACGTTTATTCCAGTTACAGATAAAATAACAGAAGAAAGACAAGGCACTGACTAAATGAAAATCTTACAGATTCAGAGCAAACAAAGATTAATGAGGAAACAATCAGTTCTGTTACAGGACTGAAAATAAATGAGAGTTACGCGAATAAAGATTGGAAAATAACTTCGAGAAACTTAGAAGTTAATCATTTCAAGATCGTGAAGTGTTATAGTTAAGAGCCACCTACACTAGTTGGTGTTTTAGATATGCAAAGAGCAATATGGCCAGTAGAAGCACAAGCATTGCAATCTGCAATTTCCGGATTTAGAGGAGGGTGATTAGTAAACCATGCTAACAAATTAGATACGTTCTTTGAAAACGAGACTGAAATTAACTTACCAAGAGAGCCTTTGATTTTGATTCGTCGTTAACATAAGATTTTCTGACAAGAAAACAGAAAGACAAGGTTCATTAGAACTTTAACCAAAGACTAAAAGATTGTTCTCTTACTGCGATGCCTTTATTGGATTTTAAAACGTAAAAATACTTAAAAGCGAGACTAAGAAGAAGAAACCAAGAAAGAAAGAAAAAAGAGTCTACCTGTTTTGAAGGTCTCCATTTTCTCTGCAGAGTTTCTTGATTGTTCCAAGTTGTTTTAGTGTTTTCATTGCATTTGGATCGTTCTTATCAACCTGTTAACACATGTCAATACACAAAAAACACTGAAATCAATATCCTATTTCAGGGACAGTATGTATACCTTTTTTTCTATCATGCAAGAAAAATCATAGAATGCACCGTAGACATCATCCATTGTCTTTGTGCGATCAACTACTTTAGCGACTATTCCTAAACCATAGAAATCATTTGTCAATAAATCAGTCTTCAGCATAGCAATGTTCTCAGCATAACTCAGTTATTTGACTGACTCAGAAAATAATTAAATTATTAATGCTTAGCTTTTGGTTGTAATAAAGCTTCAGGATCTAGATGATGAAGGTGTGTCAAAGATATCTTACCTCGCCTCAGTTTCACGACGCCTCTAAATACTTGTAGATTGTTATAGCATAATGCAAGTGTTCCAATCGCCAAAACCTAATAAAAATGGAAAATTCCTTTATTTCAATGTAGTGAAAATCATCATCTAACTATTCTTCTCTTGTTTAAAAGTTGGTCCACTAATTAAATGACAGTTTAGACAGCCAACATGTCAACAAATAAGCAAAACAAACTATGCACGTACAGTATATCCTAATACGAAACAAAAAAAAACCCATTAAAATATAGAAATTTAAAATCATTTGGGTAGCTTATTCAATGGTATATGATTATAAGTTATAACGGGTGGATCTGAATTTTTAGTGTCCATGACTTTTAGGGGGTTCTGTAGGCCAACTCTCTACGCCTACAGAGAGTTAAGGACTTAAGGCAATGGCCATGGAGATGGATATTAATTTCGTGGTTGTACGCAATGTACGGCACGGTTATTCGGATGAAGATGGTTCAAATAGAACGATCGAAGGTGGCTAGAGATAATGATTTACACAACCTCTCAAACTTTTGGTATCAGACTGTGATCATGTTTAACATTTTTCAAGAATAATTGACATTATTCCGCCATCATCTCATTATATTATTATAATTTTTTGTAGTTTGGGTATACAAGTACAACAATCCGAAAAGAAAAACTCATTGTCAAGAAAACAACAATCAGTAACGCAATTTTAAAATAAATTTAATTTCTTAAGTGTAGTAGACACATGAGCCTTTACTTGGATCTTTAAAAACAAACCAACTGCTATGGTTAAAGCTACAAGCCTCTTCGATGCGACCATGACTATGGTAATAAGCGTTCATGACATACGACGCATGGTCTATCAGAGTATTAGGGTTATAGCAACTTCCACCGGGTTGGATAAGACTACAGTCTACGCCGTGGCTGCATGCAAAGTCAATGTTGGCTTGTAGCTGCTCGTTTGTCGCAGTATCCCTCGCCATGCACCATTACGAGAGGGAGGTGGTTGATTGCGACAATTGATAGGATGAAGAGGAGTGTCAAAAACTTCGACGACATTGCAAGTGAAATAAAAAATTATGTTTTGTGTTTCTTGTTCAAATACAAGTGTATATATATGCAAAAGAAAAAAAACGATTTCTCCCTCCATGCTTATCTGCTGGTTTAGGGATGAGATTTGAAGAAATGAGAATTATAAGATGTCATAAATCAATTATTTACATACACATCACTTTTATAAATTCAGTTTGATTATACAAACTCTATGATATATATGTTTCTTATTATGATATGTTTTGTAAGATTTTCTGTATATCATATTGCAAAATTGGTTTATAAGCATCTCCAACCCATCTCTATTTATTCTTCTATTTTTTTTTCTAATAGAGATTTGTATAATAGAGGTGGATTTCTCTCAATCCCACCTCTATTTCTTACTCAAAAATATAGATTGCTACTTTTTCCTCTATTTATAAAGGAAAATATAACATTATAGAGGAAAAAGTAGCAAACTCTATTTTGAGTAAAAAATAGAGGTAGGTTGGAGAAAAATCAACCTGTATTTTACAAATCTCTATTTTAAAGAAAATGTAGAAAAATACATTGGAGATGGTCATATTATTAGAGGCATTTCATTTCTTCTTTTCTCCCATTTTGTCATATTATCAAGAGACAACAATCAGTAACGCAATTTTTTTTTTAATATATATTTATTTTAATATTATTCTCAAGTGTAGACACATGAGCCTTTACTTGGATCGAAATGAGAAAACCAACTGCTATTGTTAAAGCTACAAGAATCTTTGGTGCTACCATGACTCCGGTAATAAGCATTCATGGCATAGGACGCATGGTCTACCAGAATATTAGGGTAAAAGCAACTTCCACCGGGTTGGATCGGCTTACAATCTACGCCGTGGCTGCAAGAAAAGTCAATGTTGAACTGTAGCTGCTTGTATGTTGCATCATTCCTCGCCATGCACCATTTTCTACCGGTTACGACGGGGAGATTATGGATTGTGACAATTGATAGGATGAGGAGGAGTGTCAACAACTGCGACGACATTAGAAGTGAAATCAGTAATGTTATTGTGTCTGTTTCTTGTGCAAATACAAGTGTGTATATATGCAAAAAAAAAAAGGTTTCTCTAGACAAGACAATCCTCATATCCTCCATATTTTTATACTGGTTTAGGAAAGAGATTTGAGAAGAGAAAATTATAAGATTAATAAATAAATTTTTTACTTACCCATCACTTTTCATAAATGATTCATTTAAGTCTATGAGATGTTTCTTATTATATATTTTTGTAAGATTTTCTATATATCATATTTGCAAAGGTGAAAGAAAGAAAGAAAAAAAAGACAAGGTTTAGTAAAAAATATCCAATATACAATTCATTTTACTTTCTGTGTCCCCCATTTGTCATATATTTCTAAAACTTTTAGTTATTGATTTAAGAAAAACTAAAATATATGAGAGTTAATTAACTCACTTAAACAACATTAATATTTTAAAACATAGGACTGTTAGGAAATCTATATAATTTCATTAACCGATTACAACAAAAAAGGGGTCCAACATAAGCAGTTAAAAACCTGGTGTTTCAAAGATTGATCATTGTTATTTACTACGGAAGCACCCAACCTTATAAGTAGACTAGATTAGGCCCTGCATATACGTGGCTTTATTTATTTTTAATTTTTTTAAATCAGGGAAGAATATTAGAAAAAAATGATCAATTTTAAAAATAAGAAAATAATATTAAAAACCCGATAACAAATCTCTAAATAAATATATGTAGTTTATTTATTTTTATTTTTTTAAATCACGGAAGAATATTAAACAAAATTTGATCAATTTTAAAAATTAAATGATAACAAATCTTAAATAAAGATATGTATTTTACATTTTTATTTTGAATTCATGATATGAAATAGAAAGATTTACATGTGTCTAAATCTAATCGACTCATTATTTTATGAAACTTTGATTATTCCATGATGAAATCTTTATTTTTAATATTTTTTTACCTAACAAAACATGGAAAATTAAACTATTTAATATTAGAAGATCAGTCCATTATAAAATTTTCTTTTTTAATATTATTTAGTTCCTTAATAATTATTTTGTTAGTTTTCTATTTATATTGTTTCTTTTTCAATTTCGTTTTTGCCTCTGACCATTATAAATTTTCATTTTCATTATTAGTTAGTTGTTTTAATATTATTTTGTTAGTTTATTTATTTATGTTACTACATTTTTCCAATTTTCTTGTGTTGACACATGTCATCACTTCATCAAATATTAGACACATGTATCGATCTAAAGTTAAGTATTCTTCATTGATATCTTTAACTTTTAAAGACATGAATTTTATTTCTTAATGAGAAAGAAACTTAAAAAATATAGCTTGTATATATATATTTTTTTTTTCATTTTCGTAATGGGAATATGTTTTTTATTCCTTTTCTTATTGGATGTAACATTTTTTAATTATTTCTTCATGTTTTTCTGATTTTCGTTTTTTTTCCTTTTCGTAATAGAATTATGTTTTTTCTTTACTTCTCATAATGGATGTAATATTTTTTCTTTTTAATTGTTTGTTTCCTGTTTTCTGATTTTTCCTAATGTACTAATAGGATTTTATTCAAATAATTTTAATTTCGATCCAATTGACCTAGAGTCAAATAATCTCCACTGTTCTCTTGAACTTTCAAAGACATGATTTTGAAATTAGAGAAAGAGAATCAAAGAGATTTTCTGAATTTGCTTTGATGAGTTTGTGAATGAGAAAAAGAGACTATAGTAGCTCTCTTTTTATAGGGGGTTCATGTAACCAATTTCATACAGTTTTAGGATATTTAGTTTACATACCTATTACATGTACTAATAGGATTTTTTTAAATAGGAGTTTATATAACTTATTCCATACAATTTTAGGATATTTAGTTTACATACCTATTCCATATACTAATAGGAATTTTTTATTACATTATTTTCATTTTATTATATAAAATTTCGTTTTTTTAAAGATAAAAATTTCCCTTTAAAATAAAAATTTCCTTTTTCCGAAGACATGTGTCACGATCTTAACGGATATAACATTAAAAGTGACACATGTCGCAATCCTATATTTTATAAAAATCCTACGTGTCGCAACCACGTCGCGCATCCAGCTTTATATAATAAGATGGGAGGTCGAATCCTTAAAA